GTGAGTATATTACTCTGTGTTTTACATTAGTCAGGCACTGCTTTCATTCCTGTAAAACCTACAGTGGTTACGGAAAGTATTCAGACCCCCTTACATTTTTCACTCTTTGTTATATTGCAGCCATTTGCTAAAATAATTTAAGATCATGTTTGTTCCAGATTTATTAAAAAGAAAAACTATCACAGGTTCTAGGTAATAAGTAGAAGCCTTCTTGATCTAATGCAGCCATGAGTCTTTTTTTTGGAAAGATGCAACAAGTTTTTCACAGCTGGATTTGGGAATCCTGTGTCATTCCTCCTTGCAAATCCTCTCCAGTTCTGTCAAGTTGAAAGGCGGACAACCATTTTAGGTCTCTCCAGAGATGCTCAATTAGGTTTCAGTCAGGGCTCTGGCTGGGCCATTCAAGATCAGTCACAGAGTTGTTGTGAAGCCACTCCTTTATTATTTTATCTGTATGCTAAAATAGCTTCTGCTATTTATTTTTTGTCTTTATTGCAGGTATATCTTGGAGAAGGTGGATCTGGTGATTGTCGGTGCAGAGGGAGTTGTGGAAAGTGGAGGTGTTATAAACAAGGTCAGACATGCATAGATCAAGACTATATTACTCTATACAGTTGAAGTCAGAATTATTCGCCATCCTGTGATTTTATTTATTTATTTTTATTCCTATTCAAATATTTCCCAAATGATGTTTAACAGATTCAGGATTTTTTTCACAGTATTTCCTATAATATTTTTTCTTCTGGAGAAAGTCTTATTTGTTTTATTTCGGCTAGAATAAAAGCAGTTTTTTATTATTTTTTAAAATCATTTTAAGGTCAATATTATCAGCCCCCTTAAGCAATATTTGTTTTCTATAGTCTACAGAACAAACCACTGTTATACAATGACTTGCCTAATTACCCTAACTTTACCCTAATTAACCTAGTTTAGCCTTTAAATGTCACTTTAAGCTGAATACTAGTATCTTGAAGAATATCTAGTTAAATATTGTGCTGTCATCATGGCAAAGACAAAATAAATCAGTTATTAGAGATGAGTTATTAAAACTATTATGATTAGAAATGTGCTGAAAAAAATCTTTTCATTAAATGAAATTGGGGGAAAAAATATACAGAAGGGCGAACGATTCAGGAGGGCAAATAATTCTGACTTTATATATATATTATATATCAGAAATGACATAATTGTGCATACATTTCCAGAACAAAAATCTGAACTTTTTTTTAAGCCACATTTTCAATTTAGTTATCACCCAAAAAAACTCGTTATCACCTTCTGAATATAAACGAGTATATAAATATGTAGTTACAGGTACATTTCAGGCTTTTTCCATTCATTTTAATTAAACTGGAATGATAATTTACAGTAAACTGAATCCATTGTTAATGCAAAATAATGCAAAATGCTTAAAATATAGAACATTTGATTTTGTTGTTATTTTCTTAATACATTTTCTTAAATGAAAAAAAAAATACAGAAAATAGATGTGTCATGCTTACTTGTTTTTGCTTATTCAATTAAATACACAAAATATATAAGAAGTTTTTTGTTCTTATTATTGGAAACTGTTAAAGCTTTTTGATTTTGGAGAATAATATTATATTATAACATGTTATATAGTATTATAATACATTATGTAAGAGGGTTTTTTTGGAGACGTAAAATGTACCTGCAATTCTAGAATCATCCATATATACTGCAGTTGAAATCTGCAGACACAAATAGATCAAGATAATGAAATAAACACTTAAAATGAACATTTTTAAAAGTACTTTGTTATTTTTCCACTGGTTGAAACAATGTAGAGTTTAACATTAAAATGTTAATGTTGTTGTTGTTGTTTTTTCATCTGTTTTCCAGATCGGCACCTATCAGATGGCTGTTTGCTCTAAAGCACATAACAAACCTTTTTATGTGGTGGCAGAGAGCTTTAAGTTTGTGCGACTTTATCCTCTAAACCAGCAGGACGTGCCTGATAGATTCAAGGTAAGCTGGAAATAAAAAAAATAACAATCTATATATGTGTGTGTGTGTGTGTATATATTTATATATGTATATATACACACACATATATATATATGTGTGTGTGTGTGTGTGTGTGTGTGTGTGTGTGTGTGTGTGTGTGTGTACACGTGTTTTTGTGACATATCAGGACACAAATCTGTATAATGACATGGTTATGACACCGGTATTACAAAAAGGAGGTGAAATATGAGGACAATTGGTGACGTCCCCATTTCTCCAAAAGCTTATAAATCCCACAGGATGAGTTTAATCAGAGAGTAAAGCTGCACACAGTCTCCTGTGATGGTTGGGGTGGGGTGAGGGCAATATAATATACGGTTTGGACAGTATAAAATGAGTGGAAATCTATGTAATGTCCCCACTTTTCACAAAAACAAACGTGTGTGTGCGTGTGTATATAAAATGTATCGATTCCCTATTTCTAATGGGCCAGTTATAGTGGTTATTACATCACGTTTATAATATCATGTCACTTAATATTCCATTTCAGTTGGAAGTTCATCAACATACTGAAATAAAAGTCTTCGGTTCATGTGGACTTTAAATATCATGATAATTTCATATACCATATTAATAACTTCAGGAATGAGTTGCCACAAGACTATTTGATAGCAGCAGATGGCTAGCCTGAATGTGTGTGTGTGTGTATTTCAGTATAAGGCGGATGTGCTGAAGACAGCGGAGGATCTGAATCAGGAGCACCCGCTGATCGACTACACTCCTCCATCCCTCATCACTTTACTCTTCACAGACCTCGGTGTGTTGACGCCGTCCGCCGTCAGCGACGAGCTCATCAAACTCTACTTATGATCGTAATAATCATGATTATTGCTGTTTATAAAGCATTTCAATCATATCGCCTCTGTGTGACTAGTTCATTCATCAAGTGGAAGACAACATTGTTCTCCATCCTGTTTTATTTATTTTTTTAAAGATTTATTTTTGGCCTTTTTGCCTTTATTATTAGATAGGACAGTATTGAGACAGGAAGCGAAGAGGGAGAGAGAGAGAGAGAGGGGGTAGGGTAATGTCGTCGAGTCGGGATTCGAATTCGCGACGCCCTGACGTGCTATTGCATCATATGTCGTCGCGCTAACCACTAGGCAATTGCGCCGACCTGTTTTATTTTTTAACAGAGTTCAATTTTTACAGAATTGTTCTTCTGGAGGGAGCCTTATTTCTGGTCAATCAGACTGGTAAATATTACTGGTTGTCTTTGAAGATTTTAAAGGGGACTGGGGCATTGTTGACCAATTTGGCATCGCACAATGTCTAATGTGGAACATCGTGATGGACGATGGCATCGTCGTCGTAGGTGACGGTGAATTAATTAATTATAAATAATTCATTCATAACTAATTAATTATTTGTAGCCTACCGTTTCAACTACCTGACCCGCATGGTCTTTGTGTTACCCATATCCAAATCATGAAAAAATAAAGATACACAAATTACCACCTGACTATCACTTTTCCGTGGAACTGTGGCATGAGTAAAAATCACTTTCATGAGGGCTTTAAACACAGTTGTGTCAGCAGTGTGTGAATAAATCCAGCCTCTAATGGTAAAATATATATTAATTATACTTTGTATAGTCACACTTGACATAAACACTTTGATTGACATTCGCCCTTTGTACATGTCATCAGAGGGGGAAAGCTTAGCCCATTAGTGACCATCTCCCCCTCATTAGCATAAACAGCCCTCAGTGAGAAGCAGCTATCTGTCCAATGGAGTTTGGAATCTGCCACTATGCTGACACATAGGCATTTGCAGCTCCACCCTGTTCTGAAAAGAGCACAATCTCATTTGCATTTAAAGCGACAGTCACCAAAACACTAGGGATGGCTGACGTGAAACTGACGTTTCGACACAGTGTCGAGATCCCGAAGCGCAAGTGTTTCGAAACACTGCACCGAAGCATGATCTGAAACACCCTGGTCACGTGACTAAAGTGTTTCGAAACACTTGGTCACGTGACAAAAGCGATTCAAAGCATCGATCATTTCAGAGGTGTTTCATGACCCGGAGAATCTGCATTTGACTGGCATGATCTTACTTATGACTCTGTCTTGTATGGCGTAGTGGACCGTGCGTGTGCACTATAGTATTGTATTTCAAATTTATTTTGGGTTCGAATCTCGACTAGTACAAATACTCCAAAATCATGATTTTATGTATTTTAATCATGTTACTGTTTTATGGTGTAGTCTAGATAGGATACAGCTGCGGATATGCCATCAATTTACCATCATTTTTGTAACACTGTAAAACAATAATTCATATTTTTACAGTACTGTGATGGGTTTAGGTTTTGGATAGATGTTAATAAAATACAATGGGAAATTTAATTAATAATATAAATAATTGTTGTTAACTTCTGGCCACAACTGTATCTGATCTAGCAACAACCCTGTTTTATAAACAAAACAATACAAATTTATTTACAAGGTGTTTATTCGTATGTCAGAGCAATGTTGAAACAAAACGATACAATGGTATTAAAGCATTTCAAAACAATTGTGTCAGTCTGGATTCGAACCCATTATTCCCGCATGGTAGTCACAAACTCTAACCGCTCAACTAAACCATTTAATAGTTCAAGGCTACTAAGTAGGGTTTGATACCTCAGTTTGCTCAACTGTTCTTTGCTGAAGCTGTTTCAGTGAAATACAAAAAATGACCACTAGGTGTCGCCGTTGAGTGGTGTTTCGAAACGTTTCGAAGCTTCGACACATTTGCTTCGATAGTTTCAGTGTTTCACGAAGCCTCGCTTTGCCCACCACTACAAAACACCACTATTAGCATCAAAGCCTAAAAGGGGCAGCTTTAGCGAGTTATAAAACAATGTTTGTGTGGAATTAGGTGCTGAAACTTCACACACAGCAACCTCAGAGACATATTTACATCTTGTAAAAAGGGACATAGATCCACCTGAAAACAAGCAGCATAGAAAAGGATGTTCCTAAGAGTTTTGTGTAAAAAAAAGAAATAAGTTTTATTTTCCTCTGGAGAGTGAATATAGTACAGGTTCAGATTAACATTGAGTTAGTAACCATAGAGTCATTATCTTTAAGTGATTTAATCCGTTATTGTCAATAACCACTACTTTACAGTGAACCGTAAATAAGTGAAATATGAATGTGCTCAAGCTGACATAGTTTTCATTTCACACAGACCAGGGATGCATTTTCAAATAAGTTGCTAACAGGGAAATATCCAAAGAGGGTTATTAAACACATTTGCATGTTTATGCAGTTACATTACTGGGTAACACTTCACAATAAGGTTATATTAGTTAATGTATTAACAAACAAAGAACAATACGTTTATTACAGTATTTGTTAATGTCAGTGATTGATTAGTTCATGTTAACTAACAGTGCATTAATGATCCAGCATGTATTTGGACATTAATAAAGCATTAGTAAATGTTGAACTATGATGAATAAATTCCTTACAAGTATCAATCATTGTTAGTAAATACATTAACTAATGAAAGCTCACTGTAAAGTCTGAACCATTACTGTACCAGTCGTAGAAAGATGCTTAAGTGTCTTCTGACTAATAAATTAGTATCAAAACAGGCAACAGAAAAGGCAGCTTGACGGTTATTATAATAATCCGACAAAACAGCATCGACAGTTTTAATAACGTAAACAGGATTGATCGTCACTGCTGGTTTTCCTCTGGGTGATCCATCAGAGATTTGACCCAGCTGGTGCCGTTGATCAGTTTGGTGGTGGCGATGATGTACTCGGTCCCGCTGTCCTCCATATGAGAGAGAAAACGCAGAGCGGCGATCTCAGCGTACGTCACGCCGCCCAGAAAGAAGACTAAAGTGGTGCGGTTTTCTCCAGGCTGACCTGCAGATTCACATCGATATTAAACAACAACATTGTACTTCTGCACACATTCAGTTATAAATAAAGCAAATCCAACAGCGGGTAACACGTTCACTGAAATGTGAATGACTGAAAGACTACATTTTGTGACCTTCACTTTATTACAAAAATTAAAACTTATTTTTGTTTTTCTACAGTAGCTATGTTTCCATCCAAAACTGCGAATTAGCTTTATGCGCAAAACTGGATTATCGCATAAAAGACGTGCGAATAAAGCAGCGTTTCCATCCAACGAGTCAAAGCGAAAAAAAATCGTCACTTTCTGATTAACTGCCACCAAATATCAACAGTCAAAACTGCATTTGATGCAGTCGAAGTAGCTGCATCAATCTTTTCTTCATCTAATAAATGACTTGCGCCTAAGAAGACTATCCTGACATGGAGTGAACGCGCGGTGGCATTTAAGGTGTTAAGATGCGGAGCACAGACGCTCGTGATTCTGGAGGTCATTAATAATATAATAACACTAATGCTTAAACAATAAAGCCGCCTTTCCACTGCACACGACATTTGGACACGACTGTCAGATTACGCCCCCTTGTGAGAGTCGCACAGAATTTTCAGTTTTGAATTGTTCTCGCAGTGTCCGAATTGAAAACAAGAGTCTATATTCTCTGTGCGTTCATCATGGTTGAATAAATTAATGAAAACTAGAAACTCATAGACAGCTAAAAAAATTGGAGGGAATGTGGAGACAACATAAAAAATATATATTTTTATTACTTTATTACTTACATTTATGAAAATAAATGTTTGTTATTTTTTAATATACACTTTTTCTGATTTAAAAAAATAACCAAATAAGCGTCGCACACACGGACCAGCTTAGACAACACTGGAATACATCACATCCGGTCGGCCGGTCGCATACGGTCTTCAAATATTTCAACGGATCTGCAGCACAAATCGGATCTGAATTTGCCACATACGTAGATGATCGGAACTCCACGCAGCTCCCGCACTATTCTTCATTGGAAATGAATGACTTCCGGTCTGTCGCTTGTCGTGTGCAGTAGATCATCACATGATCTCTTATAACAAAATCACATGACCTTTTTTAATGAGCATGCTGAAATTTGTGCGGTAAACATGTTATCAACGTAGGTTATGCGCAATTGCGCATCTTATCGAATAAAAAGTTTATCCTACTCAGTTATGTGAATAACTTTATGCGCATTTTCATCTTGACGTTTCCATCAACCGTTTTGTATGTGCATATCCACAATGCGCATAAAAATAGGAGGATGGAAACATAGCTAGTGTAACGCAATATTCAGTAAGGGTGCATACAGCTTGCTCGTGGGAGCCATCTTTACAGTTTAGCTAGTATTTTTTACTAATAATGTGAGGGTGTTATTAAAATAAATTTGCATCTTTTAAAAAGTAAATCAAAACATTTATCCAGGAATAAAAAGAAGGCTAATAGATGTCTAATAGACGCCAAAGAGCTTAGAATTTCCAAGAGGCGACACTCAATAAAACGTTCTATTGCAACAGCAGCGCCCAGCAACAGCCCTGGATTCCGCTATTTTGGAGTGAAAGCGGCTGTCCATTGGATTTTATTGCTGTTGCGATGGCGAGCAGCTGCTTTGTTTTTTATTTATATATTTAAAAAGCGCATTAAAGCTGAAGATACAACCTGAAAAACGACAATACAGCACTTACTATCACAATCATCAGCACTTTCAATAGTTCATTTTACAGACTTATAATATGCTGTTGTTCTATTGGACTTTTCATTCCAAAATGGCCGCTGCGCCCTCTAGTGGCTGTGTCCCAAATTGCACTAGAGTGTCGCCTCTTGGTGATTCTATACTCTTTGTAGACGTCTAAACATAGACGGCCTCAGTAAAGCAAGGCCAAATTTGAGCTTTCATTAAACATCTAATAAACGTCAAAGAAAAGCCCAAAACTAGCCTAGTCATCAAATACAAATAAATGAACGACTACGTTTGTGACTACGTATCTAACTAATCTGTATTTGATGTCTATTAGATTTTCACTGACAGCCCAATTTAGCCTTGCTTTAGCCAAGCCATCTATGCTTATATGTCTAAACACAAAATTGCTTGCTTGTTGATATTCACCCAAAACGAGCATGTATTTAATTGTAAATCAAAGCATTTATGCTTCTTGTGGTGACCTTACAGCACAAATGAAATCAAAACAAATCGTATTGATTTTGTTAGCTCATGTCACTAGTTTTGTGGTGAACAAAACAGAAGTTTTCTCATTTAATATTTCGTTTCTCTAGGAGCTGCATCACAATACGTAAAAACAAACCAAAAAAAAACTGTGGCAGCTTCCGGTTCATGTGGCCTTTAATGTAAAATGAGCATATTTTTAAAAAGTAAATCAATGCACTTACGCTTCTTGTGGAGGCCTGTGGGAACCTGCTGTCGTTCCTCAAAGTGTGGCCCAGGCAGCATCTTCAGCACCTCCTCGATGCTCCTCCATCCTGGTCGCGCCAGAACCTGAGTGAGGCGAACGCTGAGCGGAGCGTAGCCGCTGTACACGTACGAGATATCATTCGGGTTCTGCAGGAGAGAGAGAGAACATCATGAAGAAACATCAGTGAGTCCATATATATATATATATACACACACACTTTTACATTTCACATTCAAGGCGGAGCTATCATTCATTTAGGGTGGAGCTATCAGTCATTTAGGGTGGAGCTATCAGTCATTTAGGGTGGAGCTATCAGTCATTTAGGGTGGGGCTATCAGTCATTTAGGGTGGAGCTATCAGTCATTTAGGGTGGAGCTATCAGTCATTTAGGGTGGAGCTATCAGTCATTTAGGGTGGAGCTATCAGTCATTTAGGGTGGGGCTATCAGTCATTTAGGGTGGGGCTATCAGTCATTTAGGGTGGAGCTATCAGTCATTTAGGGTGGGGCTATCAGTCATTTAGGGTGGGGCTATCAGTCATTTAGGGTGGAGCTATCAGTCATTTAGGGTGGGGCTATCAGTCATTTAGGGTGGAGCTATCAGTCATTTAGGGTGGAGCTATCAGTCATTTAGGGTGGGGCTATCAGTCATTTAGGGTGGAGCTATCAGTCATTTAGGGTGGGGCTATCAGTCATTTAGGGTGGAGCTAAGCTATCAGTCATTTAGGGTGGAGCTATCAGTCATTTAGGGTGGGGCTATCAGTCATTTAGTGTGGAGCTCTCAGTCATTTAGGGTGGGGCTATCAGCCATTTAGAGCAGAGCTATCAGTTATTTAGGGCAGGGCTATCAGGCATTTAGGGCGGGGCTATCAGTCATTTAGGGTGGAGCTATCAGTCATTTAGAGCAGAGCTATCAGTTATTTAGGGCAGGGCTATCAGTCATTTAGGGCGGGGCTATCATTTATTTAGTGAGGCACTATCAGTCATTCAGGCCAGAGTTAACATTTTAGTGCGGAGCAATCAGTCAATCAGGGCGGGGCTATCAGTCATTTACGCCGGAGCTATCAGTCATTTAAGGCGGGGCTTTCAGTCCTTCAGGGAGGGGATATCAGTCATTTAGGGCGGGGCTATCAGTCATTCATTCAGAATGGGGACATCAGTCATTCAGGGTGGAGCTATCAGTCCTTTAAGGTGGAGCTATAAGTCCTTTAGGGCGTGGCTATCAGTTATTTGGGGCGGAGCTATCAGGGCATTTCTCAATTCTACTTTGACTTCATCCATTCTTAAATCTTCTTTCGTTTTGAATGCAACACTCATCTTCCAACAATCTATTCGGTTCCCAAAAGTTGAAATCAATTATTTGTTTATTTATTTTCATTTCAGGAGCGTTTCAATTGGATGTACGTCACAATAGAGGAAAAATAAGGAAAACGTTAACTTCCGTTTCAAGGTGACTTCATTACACACGTACATAAAGTGCCGTTTCAAAAATAAACCAGAAACTACACTAAATGAGTAACAGCACAAACCTGTTCGTTGGCGTCCTCCATCCACAGCTTGAGTGTTTTCCTGATTGTGGGGTAGTTGTTCCTCATGGTGCTCTGAGGTTTGAGCAAACCAACCTTCTCCAAGTTCTTGAGGGTCAGAATGTGCTTATAACCGTACGTCTAAACCAATTTTAAAGCAAGTCAGATTCAGCTTTATGCAGACAATAACAATTTTGAAAAACATTTCACCGAAAAATTTAAAGGGATAGTTCACCCAAAAATGAACATTACCTCACTGTTTATTCCAATACTATCTGGATGCAGCCTTTATGATGTCAGACACAATGCACTCAATGGAGTGAGTGACCGGTGGGGTTTAGGTGAGCGCATTACAAATCACTGGATGCAGCTTAGATTGCACTGGACCAGGTCTGCATCCAGACCCCTCTCGTTTATTCTCCCTCTTGTGATTTTAAACCTATTTGAGTTTCTTTCTTCTTTTGAGCACAAAAGAAGATATTTTGAAGAATGATGGTTTCTGGCACCGATTTACTTCCACAGTATTCATTTTTTTGAAACCATGGGTGCCGGCTACCAGCATTCTTCAAAATATCTCCAATAGGTTTGACACAAGTAAAGGGTGAGTAAATAATTACAGACTTTTCATTTTTCGATGAACTGTCTCTTTAAGTGTGACTAAGTCATTTTGCCACATTTACACTTATTAATGTATTTTCTTAATTAAAAATGCATTTATTTTATAAGAGGGTTGATTTATGTTTGTTAAAATAACGTTTTGTTATAACCAACATTTACAGACCTTTAACATTTCTGAAAATTCTGAATTTGAAGCCTTAATAGCCGAATTTCCACTGTCGGGCCAGTGCGAGCCAAGGCTTTTATTGGGCCGGGCCGGGCTGAGCTAATCGCCCGTGAGGTTGAGCAGTGAAGCTGAAATCATGTCGTGTTTACACTGTCGGGCTAGTAGTTTGCAGTGTGTCACGCAAACCCTGCCTCCAGAACATCCCCCGAATCAAATGTCACACAACCCGCCCACGCATCATCATCACCAAACCATTAAAATGAAGCCAACCGAAACAAACAAATGACACGTTACTGTACAGCATCACATTATATGTCTATACACACAGGCCTGTGTGTTCTCATTCATCATATTCATTTACTCAGGCAAAGTCCGCCTCTCCTTTCACTCCACCCCGAAGCCCCAGCTGGCCCTTTTTGGCCCAAGGTATTTGGCGGGCCGAAAAAGGCCAGCCGCTGGCCGCGAGAAAGCCACGCTTTAGCCTGATCAGGCCCCGGAAGTGACAGTGGAAACGCGACTGGCCTTGACTCGCTCGCTTTAGCCGCGATAGTGGAAACGTGGCTATTGAGAACTCCTGCTTTAAAGCCTCAATGTACTTAATATCAATAACACCCGAAATGAACTCTAAACAAACTTTTGGTATGTTATTGTCAGAAAATACATCTTGTCAATTTCTCAAGAAACACGTTCAAAGGCCATAAGGAAACCTCAAACCCATTTTTCTCTGCAATACCTGAAGGATCTCCCTCTTATAGTAGTCCAGAACTTTCTGTTTGAGTCCGTTGTTGCAGACAGACTGCATACAGACCAGCCGCAGGATTTTTATCAGCGGGTCTTTCTGCGCAATGCAGTCCTCAATATAAGTGCTGACCTGTAAAAAAAGTGAAAAAAATATTACATATTATACACACACAATAATACTATTATACACATAATATTAAGATCGATAACCACTAATGTATGACTTTAACTTGAAAATATTTAAAAACTCAATTAAAAAGCTTTCAAAAGTAAAATAGTTCCTGTTAGTTTTATAAATCATAACAAAATGTACAAAACAAAGGTGATTTGAACACTTATACTGGCTTTATATTGGAGTTATAAGCTAAATGAAGCACCTTGTCTGTGTCGACTCCAGTCATGAACTCCTGCTCGACCGTCAGACTGTCAAAGAAAACCTCTGAAGCTGAAACACAGGAGACAGATATATCTGATGAAGACTATTGGCTAAAATACCAAAGCAAAATCAGACATGTGAGCCTGGAGCTCATCCAGTGTTACGTTACACATGTAGATTTTAGAAAATATCCAAACACATTGATTTTTATTTTTTTTTTGAGTTTATGCATAAAATAATATTATGAAAATAAAAATAAGAATATTAAAGATCATGTTCAATGAAAGCATTTTGTAAATTCTCTACTCTAAACATATCAAGACTAAATATTTAGTTAATAATGTATATAGCTATGAAATTCATATACACACACAAACACACCCCTACCCTTACCCAAACACACCCACCCAGACCCACACACAAAAACTCACCCCCAAACATACACAAAGAGACACGCCAAACACAAACACCCACAAAATAAGTTCAACTCTTTCATTTAGACAACTTTAAAGGTGGATTTAGGAGTTTTTAGATTAGTTTGCAAACTCAGATTCCAGGTTTTATCTCAGCCAAATATTTTCAGGCCTATCCTAAAAAAAAGATCAACGGAAAGCTTATTTATTCAGTTTTATGACTGGTTTTGATGTCCAGAACCACAAAAGGTAAGAACTGAAAAACGACTCTGTTGTCAGTCAGTCTTACTGGTGATGTCTTTGATAAGTTCAGCGATGGAGGTGTGATTGGCCAGAGAGCTGCGCGCCGCCTGCATGTGCGGCAGCTGGGAAACAAACTGCTTAATTTCTCCCACAGTTTTGGCGTTGTGTCGCTCCTGGAACACAGTCAGAAATATAACAGCTTATTAACAATGCACTTTTCACACTTCCGGGTTTCTCAGCAGCAGAAGTCAGTATAGTTGTGTAAACTTAGAGCGCAATGAATAGGAGAGGACAACAAATACTTTTTTTACAGTCCTATTTGCTCAAATAATAAAAGAAAAACTCCCTAAGGGTGTTACCAAGACTTTCAGAAAAAGGAAAACTGTGTAAATGTGTAATGTTTATGTCATATGCAATAATGTAATCTGTGAAAATAGTGTGAGACTGATAACGGCAGCCAGAAGAGAGAATAATGTCAGATTTACTCTCCCGCCCCCGTAGACACTGCATTACAAACACCTCACACAAGCGGTTGATTCGTTTTTTGTAAACTGATGCAAAGATGATATACACTGAAAAAAGTGTTGCATGCAGAACTGTTGCAAACAATTTATTTGTGTTGAATTTAAACAATCAAATTAAATTGAATAATGTTCAACTTAATGTGTTTGTTTAAATTCAACACAATTAAATAGTTTACAACCACTTAACATAATAAAATTGAGTAAATCCAAGGAATCATCTTTGAATAATTTTTTTCAGTGTAGTACATCCATAAATAAGCTAGCTTGCTCTCTGCGACTCTCACATGGTCACCCACTGAAGCTAAGATCAATCTAGATTGCTGCCGGAAGTGGTGTTAGTGAGGCCAGCAGGGGGCGCCCAACCTGCGGTCTATGTGGGTCCTAATGCCCCAGTATAGTGACGGGGACTCTATACTGCTCAGTGAGCACCATCTTTCAGATGAGATGTTAAACCAAGGTCCTGACTCTCTGCGGTCATGAAAAATCCCAGGATGTCTTTTGAAAAAGAGTAGGGGTTTAACCCCGGCATCCTGGCCAAATCTGCCCACTAGCCTCTGTCCATCATGGCCTCCTAACCATCCCCATATTATAATTGGCTACATCACTCTGTCTCATCTCCACCAATCAGCTGGTGTGTGGTGCTGCACACTGGTGGTGGATGATGAGATTCCCCTCTATGTGTAAAGCGCTTTATGTGCCCAGAAAAGCGCTATATTAATGTAAGGAGTTATTATTATTATTAATAAATACATATAAATGTTGATGTGATTTAAAAAAATATACATAAATATTAAAACAATTAAGGATTTAAGTTATAATGATTGTTAAACAAATCATAACAGGCAAGTTTCACATGATAGAAACATTTGAAAAGAAGTCTGTTTGCCTCACATAAGCTGCATTTATTTGAATACAGTAAAAACAATAATATACCGCAATTAAAAATGCCTATTTTATATTTCTAAATATTATAAGATGTAATATTATCATGTGACCCAAAGCTGAATTTCAGTCTGCAAATCATGTTAAATGCTTATTTGAATCATTTATTATTATTATTATTATTAATGATGAAAACAGATTTGCAGGTTTACATGCTTGTGTTTAAAAAGAGTTATTAAAAACAGGAAAAGAGAATCAATTAATCAAAAGTGACAGTACAAGGTTTCTACATATTCACAATCGAAAACAAATATTGCTTAAGGGGGCAAATAATATTGACCTTAAAATGCTTTAAAAAAAATTAAAAACTGCTTTCATTCTGGCTGAAATAAAACAAATAAGACTTTCTCCAGAAGAAAAAATATTATTAGACATACTGTGGAAATGTCCTTCCTCTGTTAAACATTACTTGGGAAATATTAAAAATCACAGGAGGACTAATAATTTTGACTTCAACTGTCTAACTAAAAAGATCCAACACACATTAGCTAGTGAGATAAGGCAGGAAAGCAGCACAAACCTCAAACGCTGCTGAAATAATCTTGGCCTTCTTGCTGAGAGCCGCACCGACAGCATTGAAGTTCTTGTCGCGTATCTCGGCGTAAAGCTCCTCAGCGGAGTTCAGCTGCAGTTTTTTGGGCTCGGTGGGCAGATCTTTGCCGCCTTCACCCTGTTTCTTCTGAGCAAACTTTTCAGGCGGGAGCTTCACATAACCTGACAAAGCAAAGAATCAACATGAGCGTCTACATACAGGTGATGCCAGAATTACAGGTTCATTTTAAGGGGTGCATCTCCAAGATAAACTCTTATTTTTAGTGGGTAGCACTGTCACCTCACAGCAAAAAGGTCATTGATTCGAGTCCCAGCTGGGTCATTTGGCGTTTCTGTGTGGAGTTTGCATGTTCTCCCCATATCCGGGTGCTCCGCTTTCCCCCACAGTCCAAATACATGCACTATAGGCGAATTGAATGAGCTAAATTGGCTGTGATCTATGAGTGTGTGCGTGCGTGTGTGTGTGTGAATGAGTGTGTATAGGTGTTTCCTAGTAATGGGTTGCATCCGGAAGGGCATCCGCTGTGTAAAACATATGCTGGAATAATTGGCGGTTCATTCCACTGTGGCGACCCCTGATGAATAAGGGAATAAGCTGAAGGAAAATGAATAAATAACTAATTTACCATTGGTGATGCCAAAGATCTCGTCGATGAGACCCTCGTATGTGAGCTGCGTGGCGAGCGGTGTGAGTAAATCCACGTTTCGATCCAGCAGCAGAAGAGTGTCAAACACAGGCAGGATCTGAGTGTGGCTGCCTGCAAACTCTCTCTTCATCCGCAGCATCATGTTGGCCACATGCTGAGAGAAACATGCAAATACTCAATTACTTACTAACTCCTAAAGTACACAAGAAATCAAACTAACCATATTGACTATGTTAGCTCACATTGCTAGATTAGGTCTGTCTGAGGTATTGGGCGGGGCTAACATACTTAACCACGCCCCCTCTAGCTGTCAGTTTTGATATTAAACAGAACTGGTGAGCAGGAGGAGGAGTCTGTTGGGTTGTAAGAACTCTCCCCAAACCCTTTCCCAGATCTATCTGAATGAAATGCCTACTTTACAACATCCAATCAGCTCGCAGTAGAGAAAACAAGCCACGCCCATGGTGTTTTCTGATTTAATAATCCATTTCTTTAGGATCTGCGTCACAATGCGAAAAAAATGGTCACAGCTTCCGGTTCATGCGGACTTTAATAGCGCAGTGTGTATAATTGACACCTAGTGGTTGAACTAAGTATTGCAGTCCGGTCTCACCTCTGATGACTCCAGTCAGGTTGCCAGATTGACGACACAAACAGGAGCATGCCTCAAGATCTAGTAAGCTGCTCAGCTAATGTTTACATTTCTAATATTTACATTATTTGATAATTAAAAACCACCTCATGTGGATTTAATACCTCTAAACTCATTCAGAGTCTCATTTTGATGGCTGCTACTGTCCTCCGAAGGTCAAATTTTTGGCTATGCCTTTATATTTTGATGACTTAAAGTAAATACACAGTTTTTTTCTTCTTTAAGGCAACCTGGGGTACTAAAACATAAACTGGTGAACTGGCAGTGGGCTGGTTATAGAGACCAAATCCAACACAGACATTCTGACACGCAATGCACTCTCAAAGCAGAGTAACTGACTATACCATTGATTTTCAGATAAACAAGTATGTTCACTTAGCATGTTTCCTAAACATCTGCAAACATATTATGGTGTTTTTTTAAGCTTTAAGTCCAACTAAAAATGTTATTTACCATGCTAGACTCAAATAAGCACCACTAAAGCTGGAATTGAGGATATCTGAAAGCTTCTAGAATGAAATGTTCAAAAAGCACAGACTAGATTGTGACATAATGATGACATTAATCACTTTAATTCTTTGTTTTTCATCTCTTATAAAAGTATTTTATGTTTCTTTTATACTTGTTTAAGTAAAGCACACTTGTGTATGAAAGGTGCTATATTAATAGACTTGCCAAATTTGCAAAATCAGCACAAATGCATTTCTACTCACCCGTGCACACTCTCCTTTGCCAAATATCTGTGGTATTGTTCCATAAAGTGCTTGCAAAGTCATGAGGCCTTTGGCAGCATGATAGAGGCTCGTCTGATCATTTTCTAAATAACACTCCTATTATGAAAGAAAACAAAGTTATGTATTTATATATATATATATATATATATTGTATTTTGTATTATTTTCCCCAATGTTTTGTCAGTCAACTGCTAATAGTTGTCAGCCAATTATTATTTAATTTAATACAAACGATTTGAAAAAGGATCAAAAGGGCAGACTTAAATGATCATTTATTATTTTAATTAATTGCATAACGTCTTTTGCAAAATCCTATATTTTTTCTAGGTAACATAAATAGGTAACACAATAAAAACCATACAAACAATCAAACAAACAAAAATAAATATATAAATAAAAAACAAATAATTAAACAAAAACAAAATTAATAATTAATTAATATAAATTGATTAATAATTAACTAAATAAATAAATAAATATGAACAAATATATAAAAAAATAAATGAAAAAAAACAAATCAAATACATTTTAATAAACATAAATAAATAAATTAAATTAAACAAACAAAATCAAATAAATTTAAATAAATAAATAAAAATAACTAAAATTGAATAAACAAATCAAGTAAATATAAATAAATAAAAATAAATAAATTAAATTAAATAAACAAATCAAATGAATATAAATAAAAAATTTAATTAAATAAACAAATCAAATAAATATAAATTAATAAAAAATTAAATAAACAAATCAAATTATTAGAAATAAATAAATAAAATTAAATAAACAAATCAAATTAATATGAATAAATAATTTATAAAATTAAATAAACAATCAAATAAATAAAAAAATTAAATTAAATAAATAAACAAATCAAATAAATATAAATAAAAAAATAAATTAATTAAATTAAATAAACAAATCAAATAAATATAAATACATTAAAATAAATAAAATTAAATAAACAAATCAAATAAAAATAAATAAAAATAAATAAAATTAAACAAATAAAATAAATAAATAAAATTAATTAAATAAACACATCAAATAAATATAAATATATAAAATTAAATCTAAGATCAAAATAAATCAATAAAATGTTTATCATAGACATAATTAACACATGTTAAAGCAGCAAAAAGACAGTATTCTGCATGCACAGATATTTCTTACTCTAAAGGAGCTCTCAGACTCCATGGAAAGCAGATCTCCATCATAAGGGATGAGGTCGAGGATGTACTCGTCGATGTTTGTGAAGGAGTTCAGGACGCCTTTCTCCTTCAGCCGCTGCTCACACAGGAGGCTCCGGCGAGGCACGAACAAAATGTGAAACTCACGAGGCTGCAGTTTATCCTCACTGCAATGCAAAAATCACTTTTAAACTTTTAAATGGGGTTGTGTGGCAGCAGTGTGTGATTATAACCAGCTTCTAATAGTAAAAATGTATAGTTATAATTCTGTTTTTTATAATCACACTTGATGAAATCAGTCTGCAGAAACACTTTGATTGACATTCTCCCTTTGTACGTGTGATCCCAGGGGGGAAAGCCCCGCCCACTAGAGACCATTTCTCCCTTATTAGCATAAGACGTCAGTCTGGTTTTTGAATCTGCCACTATGCTGACACATAAGCCTCTGTAGCCACGCCCTCTTTTAAAAAGAGCACAATCTCATTTGAATTTAAAGCGACAGTCACCAAAACAGCATAATTAGGATCAAATGCTAAAAGGGCAGTTACAGAGAGTTATAAAACATTATTTTTGTGGTATTTTGTGCTGACACACACACACACACACACACACACACACACACACACACACACACACACACACACACACACACACACACACACACACACACACACACACACACACACACACACACACACACACACACACTTTCTGAGGATGTCAGAGACTTATTTTAGCATAATATGTCCCATTTAACATTGCATATCCTATGATGTGACTATTGTGGATATGCATATCAATGCTAAAATGGTATATTGTGCAGTCCTAATACGAGTGGAGTCAATTATATTTATCCTTATTTCTTAATCCTGACATTTCATGACATTTTCAGAAATGAGTGGTATTTATTAATTAATTAATTCATAATTTTTTTCTCAATACTTCATAACTTGTCCTATGTACATAATACATTTAAAAAAATGCATGTTATTTATTAATTACAAATATTTCAGATTAAAAAATAATAATAATTTCAATTTCTGAATATTGTATATCAAAGGTTTTAATTGCATTTAATTTTAGCCAAGTTGTGAGGCAGGATTAAATGATCATTTATTATTTTATTTTATATCGTCTTGTGCAAAATCCTATATTTTTATCCAGGTAAAATAAGTAGTTGGCAAAACAAAATAAAATCCATACAAACAAACAAATGAATAAATAAATAAAAATAAATAAATAACAAAATAAATCAACAAAAACAAAATAAATTATTAATTAATTTAAGTTGATTAATAATAAACTAAATAAATTAATAAATATGAATAAATATTTAAAAAAAATAAATAAATATTATAATAAATAAATAAATAAAATTAAATAAACAAAATCAAATAAGTTTTAATAAATAAATATTAATAAATAAAAAAAATTAATAAACAAATCAAATAAATATAAATAAATAAAATTTAATAAAATTAAATAAACAAATCAAAAAATGTAAATAAATAAATAAAATTAAGCAAACAAATCAAATAAATATAAATAAAATAAATAAACAAATCAAATATAAATAAAATTAAATAAACAAATCAAATAAATAAACAAATCAAATAAATATAAATAAATCCTAAATTAATTTTAGCCAAGTTGTGACCGCAAGGCCTTAGTTTGCGTCTAGCTTGCTTGGGTTTGTTAACAAGGTAAGTGCAAATCTGTACAGATATATTGTTTTTTTTTATTCTGTATTTTGCTTAAGAGTCAACTGTTAATCACTAATCATAATGGTTCTAAAGTCCTGAATGACACAAGCGTATAAATTCTAAAGTTCTTGATTTCTCTGCCAAAATCTGACGAGCTGTTTAGTAACTAAACGAATTTAGATTTACCTCGAAACATTTTCTGCAATGATGTCCATTAACTCCAACCTCGGGCGAACAAAGAAGACAATATTCTTGACGGCGGCAGATGGTATTCGGCCTCCTTTAAGAGTGAACATTTTCTCCACTTCATGTTCCTTTATAAAAACAAATAGGACAATAATGAGTAAGGGCATGTCAATGAGTAAACAAAAACAAGTCCCACAGGTACCATGTTGAAATTGAGGTAAAGTTGGTTTTATATTTGCACATTCAGACTTTCTCCTTAATATAATTTCAGAAAAGTATTCTTTGCAAATTCTAAATAGGGATTTCACATTAGCAGCCAATGACTATCAAAGTACAACATTGTTCACAGTCAATTAAATAGTGCTAATGTTGTCAGACCCACAAGTTTCACAATATAGGGAGCATGTCCAAGTTATCTCAAAAGGAATGTGCAAATATAAAACCTCAACCATGTTAATCAGTGCATTTTTAAACTTAGCTTATCAAACAATACACAACATGCATATATATCTTTCAAATGTGACTCAAAAAATCATAGTTGATGGGTTGCAGACACTCATGTTAGTATATTTTGTATTGTGGTAGCATTACATTGCATTGATAGCAACTCTTGGATAAATTTGTTTTGCATTCACTGTGAATGTTCAGCTAACATCATTTATATTTATGAAAATCTTTGCAAAGATTCCACTAAATGTGACCTATTCTGTGTCACGAAACTGCGTTATTGGTTTGAAAACTGCTTTTATTGGGGTAAAGTTGGTTTTACAGTCAAACATTCAGACTTTCACCTTCTTGATGTGATTTCAGAAAATAATTATTTGCGATTTCTGAACAGGGAAATCACATTAGCAGCCGAATGATTATCAAAGTACAACATTGTTTACAGTCAATTAAATAGTGCTAATGTTGTTTTTCAAGTCATAATTGCATGCAAACGCAAAACAAATATTCAATGTAGTGTGGTAAAAATATATAGACACAAAATTAAATAAATAAACTAATCAAATCAATATAAATAAATAAAGATAAATAAATAAAATTAAATAAACAAATCAAATCAATATAAATAAATACGAATAAATAACTGAAGAAATCAAATAAATAAATAAAACCAAATAAACAAATCAAATCAAATATAAATTAATCTAAATAAATAATTAAAAATAAATAAATAAACAAATCAAATAAATATAAATAAACAAAAATAAAGAAATAAAATGGAATAAAAAAATCTTACAAATATAAATGAAATTAAATAAATAAACAAATCAAATAAATATAAATAAATTAAATTAAACAAACATATAAAATGAATAAAAGTAAATAAATAACATTAAATGAATACACAAATCAAATAAATATAAATAAAAATAAATAAATAAATAAATAAATAAATAAAATTAAATAAACAAATCAAATCAATATGAATAAATAAAAATAAATACATAAAACTAAAATAAACAAATCAAATAAATAAAAATAAACAATTAAAATTAAATAAATTGGGCTTTTATTGGGGAAAAGTTGGTTTTATATTCACACATTCAGACCTTCACATCCTTAATATATTTTCGGAAAATAATTATTTGCCATTTATAAACAGGGAAACCAAATGAGCAGCCAATGACTATCAAAGTACATGGTTCACAGTCAATTAAATAGCGGTAATGTTGTTTTGAAATCATACTTGCATCCAAATTTAGACCCAGTGTTCAATGTAGAGTGGTAAACAAGATTTAGACACCATGTCACAAGTCGTCACCTTGTGCTAATAACAGTATGTCATTATAAATCTGTATTTACATTTATAAATTCTGCTTCACTATTTTATTAAATGGCAAAGGCTGAATGTACGAATATAAATCCAGTATTACTTCAATAGTGGTTTACATTTTGACCTTATACATTTTCCAAACCTTGATTCGTTATTTGTTTCCATTTGATTTGTCTGCGTGTCGTGTATTTTAACATACAAGTGATATAATATAGATTAATAATACACATTTGATATTTAATATACAATTTTCATGCTGAATGAATATGATATGAACATATGCAATCTGTGAATACAATCTCTCACCTTCAAAAGTGAATACTGAGCAATCAGCCCGAAAGGTCCTGTTAGATACTCATCCCAAACAATGGCCTTTAATGGAGAAATAATAAAAGGGAAAACACATTAATTAAAAGACGATTGAGCTCCATATACTATGTTACACGACTGACAGTATTAGTAAACAATGTTTACAGGAATAATCTTTCATCACAACCATCAAGCGCAGGTTATGTGTTTACACAGGCAGTACATTTTGAGGAAACTCTGACTAAGTTAACAGTGTGACAGCCGGATAAACTCATTTACTAAAACGAAAACTTTTACCTTGCTTCCCGAACATTTATCCAAAAACTCGCGCAGGTCTTTTCGTGCAGCCTCTCTCAAAATATTTAGGTTTACTCTACCGCAAAACAAATGTGACGCCATATTCGCCAAAGCGCAGTCATGTGACTTATGGCCAGAACCTCACGTGATACTTCTTTCAAAATAAAGATCAGCTCACGTAAATGTACATTTATGTTTCATCTATTACTTACACAAAAATACATATTAATATATATTTTTAAAAATATCTTCATCTAGTATAAATTCAGTTTAGCCAAAATAATTTTGGATTAATAGCAACGTGTACGTAGGCGTTTTCAGTGTTTGTTGCCAAATCCACGCTTTCCACGTATATTTGTTGCTTGAAATCAGATGCATTAGATTGTTTAAAGCCATTAAGTAGTTTTGTAGTAAACCTGCATACATTGTAAAAAAGTAACATAACAATAATAAACGCGTAGCCAGCTAGTGTAATATTAATGTAAGTTGTAATATGAGAGATTGCAGTGTCTTGTGTGATAATTAAAATATGATGATCTCAGTTTAGTTTAAGAAATATTTTGTATTATTACTTGGATTAATTCTGACTTTTGCCAAAGACTAAAAAAATATAGCCTAAGGCATTTTAACTATTTAGGCTTTTTCGATGTTTGTTGCCAAATCCAGCTTTTCCACAAATATTTATTGCTTGATATCAAATTAAACTGCAGCAGTTTGTAATATTTTAAATTATTATTTTGAATTAATCATGACTTTTACCAAAGCTACCAAAGCTTTAGCAAAGGGGGGGGGGGGGGGGGGGGGGGTACTTTTTACATAGGCGTTTTTGGTGTTTGTTGCCAAATCCATCTTTTCCACATATATTTATAGCTTGCTTGACTTCAGATTGAATTGCTGTATTTTGTAGTATTTTGGATTAATTATGACTTTTACCAAAGTCTAAAGAATATACCATAAGATATTTTACCTATATAGGCTTTTTCGGAGTTTGTTGCCAAATCCACCTTTTCCACTCATTGTTGCTTACTTGATATCAGATTGATTTGCAGTAGTTTGTAAGGGAACATACAACAATCATTGATTGGTGTAGATACTTTTTGGTACACCTATATAATATTTCAACAATTTACTTATGTTTTCATATTTGTATGTTTTATTGTTTTAATGTATTTTCTTTTTAACTTGTTATTCTTTTATGTACTGATTTTATTTACCATTTGCTTACTATGCTGTACCATGATGAATATGTATTAGTATTCAAGTCTCATAAAATTAGTACAAATGGTGTTTTATGTATCCCCGGTTACTAATGTTGATTTAAAAAATAAAGATCGTTAATTGTTGTGTCGCGCAAACATGTGACTACACGCGTGATTTCTGTCAAATATCTGGCAACATCTCTGTTTAGGAAGAGCGCATTTCTGCTCTGGGGATCAGGGATCATTGTCAGTTCAAGTGCTGAAGGCGAGTGAGTGGAAAATGCTGCGCACAGTTTTATCCAGAGCTTTCCCTCAAGTTTGTCGCATCTCCTCATGTCAACATTCAACAATTCCTGCACCGAATGTTCAGCCAGACGTGCATTATAACAAGGTAACAACTAAACTTCACTTCACGTGCTTATTCGTGTACCGTTAACATATTAATCATGTCTCTAGTATGTTGCAGATGATTCACATCCAAATTAAATGTTTGCTTTCTAATCCTTACGATACATATCGAGTTAAATGCTCGTAATCTGCAACCTGGCGTCGAGTTTAGTTTTGCATTGAGTTGAACAGGTTAACGAACTTCTCATGTTTTAAACCCCGCCCACAGGCGGACATTCCTGCTTTATCTCAATCTGTCTAGATGGGATACAGCTGCGGATACTCGCATTAATAGAGCATATTTTTGTGACAGTACAACCATAATTAATGTTTTTATATTTCTGTGAGGGGTATGGTTTAAAGTAGGGATTTTGGTAGACGTTAGTGAGGTAAAATTGGTTTTATATTCTCACATTCGTTCAGTGACAACACGGTCCCTACATTATTAACCACGCTACTTTGAATATGGAGGGTCAATTTTTCTTATTTTTTCATCTTTAAACAATACTTTCAAAGTTAACTGGCTTAGCCAATTTATAAGTAACCAAAACTCAACTTGGAATTTTATCCCTAATTACTTTTTTACTGAGGTCTCCTTTTTCTACTGATTTGTAACTATAATTTTGCTAGAATCCCTTATAACTTATTCAGTTATCATTAGCAAGCTTTACTTGCACGGTCACTGATTTACAAACACAACTTTTCTCCTCTCAGTATTTTATCTTGAACAATCAGGTCATTTTGTATAAAAACAGATCTTTTTTTAAATGGTTGGTTTGAGAAAAATATTTTGACTGTATCTCAGTTATTTAATTCAGAGGGTCCTAAATTATAAAGAGTTTTTATGCAAGTTTGGTTTCCTTGTAACTCCAAAAGAATTTTCCATTGTAATGGATGCAATTCCTAAAGGTGTTATGATGCTTTTTAGAGGCTATGGCGGAGTATCCAGTGTTTTGTCTCTGCCATTGAACCCTGTAGGAAACTTCAGTGACCTTCCTCACGTAATTACAAAATCAGGTCTTTCTTTCAAAAGGAAATTGCGACAGCCCCATATGTGAAGTTTTTTTGGAAGGAAAATTATGACAAAATTCAATGGAAAAAAATGTGGTCTTTATCAAATATATATAATAACTAACCAAATTAGAGAAATTTCATTAAACTGTTACACAGATTTTACTCAGCCAAAACATATTTGAAAAAATTAACTTGGATATAGATACATGTAGGTCTGTAGATAGTTACAGTTGCGTCTCTGCTACAATTTATTTAAGGACACATTTCTTTTGCATTTTTTCCCTTTAGAGATCAAGAGAGTTGTATTTAAAGAATTAGTTCACTAAAACATGATATTAATATCCAGTTCTTTCCTGTGAGTTTAGTGCGCCTCCATGCTGTGTGCGCCTTTTAAAGACTACTAGCGCATCCTGACCTGACGCAGGGACCAGATGTCTGCACTATTGTCTTTAATTTCACAATTTTCATCATTTCATTGCATTTTTGTATGGTAAAATATCTAAATCTATGTTCTGAAAGTAGTAGGAGTGTTAGTAATTAAAGACAGAAAGAACTTTCTCTTTTGAGTGAACTTCTGTCATGGATTATTTTAGTAATAAAATACTAAACACTTTACCTCAATGTAGATCCTAATGAAACACAACTTAATGGGTAATTTAATAAACAATATGAATAATGCTCAGTATAATTACTGTTTTTACAAAACTGTCATGGTAGGGTTGGATGTTAATAAAATGCAGTCAATGGATAATTTAATAAATAACATTAATAATTATCTATAACTTCCAGCTGTTACAGTTAGTAGTTTTTAACGGTTTCTTTTTTAAGTAAGCCTCCCAACCCACATCAATTCTCCTGTTGCACAAGTACTATTAGGAAAAATGTATATAATAATAATATTAATTAATAATTGTAAAAATGTTATGTATAATAAATAAGTAATGGTAAAGTCCTACACTTCTGAAACGAATGATGGACAACATCTTCTTTATCTGGTCTAAAACAGGTTGCCAGGTAATATTAAACTTTTTTTTTTCTAAGGTCACAAGGTATAAATGGTCCACATTGATTTTTCTTTCCCTTTAACATGAGGGCTGGTGAAATACCAAATATGGAAATTATGGCCTCAGGTTCTATGTATGAATTTAACAATTACAAGTTTATTGTAAAAAAAAAAAAAATGAAAAATAAAACCATTTCTAGCAAATAAGCGTTTTAGGTGTAAAATACCATATAAAAAATACATGTGTAATGTGAAGTCGGACGCTGAAGTGTTGATCCAAAAGCAGGGTTTATTATGCAGAAAATGGTCAGGCAAGCAACAGTCAACACCGGAGCAAACAGATATGGGCATCCCAGAGTCGTGGTTGATAAACAGGCAGATGGGCTGGCAACATAAACAAACAAACAAGGCGAGGTCAAAAGCAAGGCAAGAAAAACGTCTAGTAATGTCCACACTTCAGTGTAACAAGACTCAGCCTAGATGTGTGCGTGCGTGCATGCGCTGTTTAAATAGTCCTTGAAATCAGTTTATGAGCAGCTCCAGCTGTGTCTGTGTCATCACCGGAACTTAGAACAGGTGTGTGTGAGCGGTACATGACTGACTTGTAGTCCAAAATGGTGAATTTGTAGTCCGTTAGCGAACTGTGTGTTTACCAGTGATCTGCACAGGCTAAATTGCTGGTGACCGTGACAACATGCATATAAATGACATATAACTGTTGAAGTTTATAATATTTCTTATGTTAATTTATAAAATTGTAGACATGGTATAAAATTAATACTTTTTTTTTTGTGTTGTTATTCGTTTTTTTGTTTTAATATGTATTAAAATAATTTGGAGATGGAGAGTCTACATACTTGACTTGAGGTTCAGAATGTCATTCTTGTGAGGTTTCATCTATATTTGGCAGCAAATAAAATATTTATAAATCAAAAGCTATACTTGTATGGACGTGTGTTTGTAAATGAAATAGAAAACATTATTGATAAATCATGCATCAAATTGTTGGTTTACCACATTCTAAAAGCATTAATAAAAAATAAATAAATAAATTAAAAATATATGTAATAATTGATACAAAATATTGTGTTGAGTTAAAAACTTTTAAAAAATAAGTTTAGAAAATTATACGAATACAATTAACATAGAAGAAAAATCTAATTTCAACAAGTAGACATTTCAACAAGTAGACAAATTACTGATTAAAGTGGTGGTTTCCTTTTGTCTGTATTGTAAACAAAGGGTCTTTTTTTTGCAGTTTACTTCTCAGACTTTTGTTTACATTTCTGTACTTTGCATAATGGAATCAGCAGACTAAGTAGAGTCTGTAATGTAAATAGTTGGATTGTTACAAGTAAATTAGTGATTTATATTATGCATAATTGATGTTTTTGCTTTGCTATAGACCATTTTGAGGGATGTAAACAAAAACATTGGTCCCAGCGTATTTCCCGTTTTACATTTTTAATTTCTACAGCTTCCGAGAATCCAAAAAGAGCCACATATTGATAATGTTATGACCGCT